GTGTGTGTGTGTGAGAGAGAGAGAGAGGAGAATCACATGTTAACAGCAGCAGCAGCAAGCAGCAGCACAAGCAGCAGCAGCAGCAGCAGCAGCAGTTGAGATGAGAACGAGCAACAAAAGAACAAAGGCGGTTTCCCGCCAAAACCAACACTGCAGCATTGTGGGAATGCTCACCTGCACACGGTGTGTCTGTGTGTTTGTGTCTTTGTGTTGCAACAGACGATCTCAACGACGCCTTCGTCGGCGGTAGTGGCGAGTGGCTTGGCAACCCAACAGCCAGTCAGCCAGCAGTCAGCCAGCAGCCAGCCAGCAGTTAGCCAGCAGTCAGTCAACCAGCAGCCAGTGGGGTGCCCTGCTGGCTTGAGATCAGCAACGTTTCTTTTCTTCCAACCACATCCAACCATCCAACAACCGTTTTGCGCTGCAGTCCTGCCTGGTTGTTCTTCGACAGCATAAAGTGTGTTATGTTACATTATGTTGAGCTGGCGTTTTGTTTTGTTTTTTTGCTGCCACACACGAGCAAGCAAGCACAAGAAGAAGACGCAGAGGCGAAGATTCTCCGCCAATTGTCTGCCTTCCACCCCTCCCCCCTCACCGCCAGCACCCACCAACCAGCACCACCAAGCAGCACCACCTTGCAGTGCCACCACCAACCCAACAGCACCTTGCAGTGCCACCAGCCAGCCAGTACAGTACCCCGTGCCCAAACAACAAAAAGACAAAAGGAAGGACAACAAGCAAGAAGAAGAACGAGCAATGGATGTGTTTGAGCTGTCGCCGCTGCTCACAGAACAGCAGGCAAAGTACAGCTGCCAGGGCCGGCATGGTCCGGAAGCTCTCCAGACGCAACAGCGGTTCATGATGGCTGGCCTCGTTCGACAATTGGGCGAGGTTTCCGCCTTTGCCGCAAACATCATGGATGGTACGTTGTGTGGGTTGCTTGCATTTCGGTGCGCTCATGGCTTGTACGTCGCACCTGCTTTCCTCTTTTGTGATGCAGCCGCTTGCTCTGTTGATACATGCATGCATGCATGCGTGTTGTCGCTGCTCACCTCTGCATCCTTCCGTGCGTTGTTGACGTTCTGTTTCTATTGCAGATTTGTCCGCTCAGCTGGTTCGCATGAACGATCGTCTTGAAGATATTTCGGGACGGGAACGAAGTGCACGCGCGCGCATCAACGAGGTGCAGGAGCGCTGCAACAAGTCTCTGGGCGTCTTTGACTGGCAAGAAGGTTGGTTTTTACATGAGCAGCCAGAAGCGAGGTCGTACTGCTGTTGCGTTTGGCTCGCTCACCTCTTGCGCTTGTTTCCGTGCGCTGTCTGCTCTTGTGCTTGGAGCCTTCTGGCGCATACTTGCAAGGTTGTCTGCAGATTGAAAACGTGCACGCACACACACACACTCACACACTCACACACTCACACACACTCACACACACACTCACACACTCACACACTCACACACACACCCGCGCGCACAGGCAAGCCGTGGGCAGCAACGGTTCGGATGGATGCCATGCTGTTTACCAAAGGCCGCGAGAACCCGACAGTGAGGGTGGCATACGACAAGGCGCGCCCCACACCGCAGCTGGATGTCTTTGACGAGTTTCGGGACCCGACGAAGCCGCCGTGCCTCAAGCTGTACTCTGATCTCGACTTCTTCTTCAACCGGTGGCGCTCGCTGCAGGAGAAGCAGCACAAGGAGAATAAGGAACGCCGCAAGAAGCGCCGGCGCAAGAAGAAGGACACGCGCACGCACACGCAACGCAAGGTGCGCGCGGTCAAGGTGAAGAAGTACAACAAGGACACGGGTGAGCTTATCGTCGAGGATGAGTCCAAGTACCGCAAACCACAGCAGCAGCAACAGCAGCAGGTGGCTGATGAGGAGGACGACGGTACGGGTGGTCCCCCGCGCAAGCCAACAGCTGCCCCGCCCCCGCCACCGCCCGGACAGGCACCCGTCAGCAAACCCGCACACGCACCCCCGCCGCCACCAGCAAAGCCAAGCGGTGTGTCTGTGTGTCTTGTGCCTGTGTCTGTGTGTCTGTGTGTCTTGTGTCTGTGTGTGTGTGTGTCCATCTGTGTGTGCACGTGTGTGCGTGTGTGTGTGCTCCAGCTCGTCCTGTTTGTTTGCGTGTGGCAATGATTCAATCATTGCACGTCCTTGAGCTCACCCTTCATTATACGTCTTGTTGCGGCCATCAGCTCCACCGCCACCACCGCCAACGGCAGCCCCGCCACCACCGCCGCCGGGCGCCAAACCCGCTGCAGGCGATGAGGAGGACGAAGGTGCACATGACCTGCCACCGCCACCGCCCATGCCTGTCACCATGCCGCCACCACCACCCCCGCCGTCCCAGACCAACAAACCAGGCCTGACACCTCCCAGCGGCACACCTCCACCGCCGCCACCACAAGACCAGCAACAACAGCAGTCTGGCCCGCCTGCCATGGCGCCACCGCCACCACCGCCACAATCGGGACCACCGGATGCTGCGCCGCCACCGGGACCCCCGCCCCCACCACCGCCTGTTGCTGCTGCACAGCCGCACCAGCCCATGCCTGATGCACCCCCACCGCCGCCACCACCAGCGGGCATCACAGACGCAGCACCCGTGCGTTTCTGCATGCATGCTTGTTTGTTTGTTTGTGTGTGGGGAGGGGAGCTGGCTGTGTTTGCTTTGTATCTGTGACCAAAGTACGTCGAGTATCCGTCACATACGCAAGCACACGCACACACACGCACACGCATGCATGCCAACGACTCACCGGTACATCCGCCCTTGCCTCGTGTGCAGACCGCTGCACCGCCACCGCCACCCCCGCCAATGCCGGCAAGCGCTCCACTGCCGCCGCCGCCACCACCACTGCCGACGGAGGGTGGTCTTGGCGCTGTGCTGAAGAGCATGGTGTCGTCCTCAGAATCCCAGACGCAGTCCACCGCCGCGCAGGGGCAGGACCTCATGGCCCAGATCATCCAGGGGGTGCGTCTCTGTGTGTGTGTGTGTGTGTGTGTGTGTGTGTGTCTGTGTGTCTGTGTGTGTGTGTGTGTGTGTGTGTGTGTGTGTGTGTGTGTGTGTGTGCGAGCTTGGTTGGTCGCTTGCCGGTTTGTGTTCAATCGCGTGCACACGCGTGTCACACTTGCCTTCCCCGCTGACGTGCCCCGCCTCATATCCTGTGCATGTCGCCCTCCGTGTCGCCCCTGCAGAAGAAGCTTCGTCACGTGGACAAGGAGCAGGAGGAGATGCGCCGGACCTCCACCTCGGCCTCCTCCATGGGAAACACCGTCCAGGCAATCCTCATGCGCCGCATGGCTATGCAGGTCCGGCCGATTTGTGTTTCTGTGTGTGTGTGTGTGTGTGTGTGTGTGTGTGTGTGTGTGTGTGTGTGTGTGTGTGTGTGTGTGTGTGTGTGTGTGTGTTTGCGCCAATTCCACGACCCCCTTTCTCACACTTTTTCGCTTGCATGATGAACTTCTGTTCGTCCCTCGCCTAATTGCCTGCGTCTGTTCGCTCACGATTGCACTGCTCATTGGTTGTGCTTGCGACAGCTGCAAGAGTCGAGCGACGAGGATTCTGATGGCAGCGATTGGGAGAGCGACGACGACGACTACGAAGACTTTGACGACTGAACCTGCTGGCGCGGTTGCTGCGCGTTGCCTCCCTCTTCTTCTTTCTTTGGCCTCTGTTTCTGGCGTCTGTCCTTCTGTCCGACTGGCTTCACAACATAAAACACGACGAATAGTGAAAGCTGGGGGGGGTGCAGCCGAAAGCACGCAGGTCAGAGATGGTGAGCGGATGAAGTGCCTTGGACACAGCCCAGGTTTAATTGTTTGTGCACTCACGTTCCCTTCCTTTCGTCAGCCTACTTTGAGATGTTGCCTTACCTGCTTTCCCGTTTGGTGGCGTGTTGCCTCTGTTCTCAATCGAGGGCCTTCATCGAGTCCAGCCCCCTAGCCCCGTCGCCTTGTTTTCTGTTTCGTCACACTCTTCTCGTTCTTTGGCCTGCGTTTCCCAAGTTTCCACATTTGTTCCGTTCCACGCCCTTCCACGAGTTCTTGCTTCCCTTGCACTCGCAACCTCTTTCGTTCTTTTGTTTCTCCTGCACTGCCCTGCCGTTCGATAGAACAAGCCGTTCCGCTTGCCTGCCTGCCGTTTGTTGTTCTTCATTTCAAGCACCCTACAACTTTCACTCGTTTGTTTGTTTTCCCCCTGCAAATCTTGTTTGCCGTTCTCCACCACGAAGCAGTAGTACAGCCTCCCTCACATGAGCTCTGGACAACTGTTGCCACTTGTCTCATGATTTGAATTTGTCAAGGTTGATGTTGTTGTTGTTCAATTGACAAGCAAAAGTGGGTCGAACACGAACACAAATGTGCGTCACAACACACGAACACGCACACTTGCTCATACACATGCCATGGCACCACTGGCTTTTCAGCTTGCGTCTTGTTTGAGGGCGTCTGTGGCCAGGCTTGGAAACAGGATCTTGGGCTTCGGCGCGCTTCGAACGAGGCGTGTGGTGGGCCGTGTCGGCGTTGGTGGGCAACGGGACGCTTGCAGTGAGGACGCGGATCCACGTTTGTTGGCCTTTGGCCTTTCAAAGAGCTGTCGTGCCATGAGGGTGACATCCATCGCTGTGAGACCCCGAATATGAATCAAAGCGAGAAAGCAGGCAGGCGAGTTCAACACACACACAAACAAACAAACAAACAAACAAACACACCTTGTCGATGTCGTCTGGATCGGGGAACATGCGTGTGTGTTGGTTGTGATTGCTTGCCGTGCGTGCGGAATTGCCTTTGCCATCGTCATCACCATCACCATCACCATCACCAGCCCCGAGCAGCTGCAGCAACAAATTCGTCTCGGCGTCTTCCTCTACAGCTGCTTGCTCGTCCTCACTCGCGCCCCTGTAGCCGTCATCAACCGTTGTCACGCTCTTGCCATTGTTGTTGTCGCTCTTGTTGTAGTTGTTGGTGCACTCCACCTTCTCGTTGTCGT